GCACTAGGCATTTGTGGTTCACAAGCCAGGTTCATTAGAAAGTCCATCAGCCCATTTAATCTCATCTCCAGCCTACATTTCCCATTACAGGATTAAACTGTTGCTTAAATGCAAACTTGACCACCCTTTCTGGGTCAATTTCTTTGGTATGAAGAAATACTTACAGTTGTAAGTATGTAAGTATGTATGTAAACTAAACTCACCCTTCATACCCCCGAACGAGTGAACCTCTATGTCAGCATTATATCTATGTCTATAAGGTCCCTTCTGAAATCCTCTTTTCAAAGTTCTTAAATTCAAGCCCTGATAATGGGCTTTAAACAAATCTAAACATACTAAAGAAATTACACCCTGGTTTGCAATTACTGCTTGTGGGTAAAGCTGTGAAATGACTAAACATTTTGTTAATGATACCAGACCCTAAAGCTGAAAACAGGAGACTGGAAAAAGCACAGCTTTGATTCTCAAACTACCCATGAACCTCAACTAAATTCTTAATGGCCAGGTCTCAGAACACTCCTCACCTGTACAACAGAAACCAAAAGTAAAATGAATAGTTTAAACTCAAACAGGAACCGTCTGGCATGCCAACTCAAACCAAGCATCACTAAAATGGCTGGTATCCAGATCTGATAGATTTAATGTGTTAATTGGGTAGACTAAACCTTGATAGATCTTCATTTGTTAGAAAACTACTGTGTTCTTTCATGGTAAATCTTCACTAATAACACTCAGGAAGGTTATAATGATTCTTACATTTGGTATAGCTTGTCCACAAAACAGTCACTGCACTTTATAGTACCACCTGTGTATCTCTATCTACCATTCGGCATTGTATCTAACATCTAACTCTGAAACACCCCTTTCCAAGGTTCATAATTTTGGGATGTCCTCCCAACGTGAAAGGCACTGTACCAAATGTAAATATTATTATAGGGCCTTTCCAGTCAAGAGGACATCATATGGCTCTTCACAGGATATACTATAAAGTGGGTGCAAGTCTACATTTTGCTGTGAAGATTTGACAGCAGTCTAACGTCTGGAACATAAGTCGTAAGGAGGTTGGAACTGCTCACCATGTCCATGAGTGAAGGAATCCAACAATTTAAATCAGCTAATAGGTCAATACAACTGTGACCATCTGCTTTGCTTTCTCCAGTGCTATGAATCTCTGAGCACCACACTTACAAGCAGACAGAAACCTCCCACACCTGAAAGGCAAACGAAGCAGCGTCACCCGTTCTAGATCCAAGTTCTGAGTCAGGCTTAAAATCACTAACCTAGGTAGGCATTAGACAGATCATATTTCACAGTCTAACAATGCCCATTAATACTCAGAATACGAACATGCTGAGTGGCATTGGCATCATTTTAATTAGACTAAGTGACAATGGGATTTTCAAAACTTCATTTTGCCTGCCAGAGCTCATGTTCATTTGATCAAATACTTATTAGCTGCTCCTTTAGGCTACCAGTAGATTAATTTGCCTTATCCATTCTTGTAGATTTTAAAACTTTTAAATCCTAATATCTGGGAATTGACACACCAACCTCCATTTTGGGAAAAGGGAAAGAAAGCATAGCATCGAAGGGCAAAACACTCGATGGAATGGAGGAATCTGGGGGTAAAAAAACATCATTCAGTTCAAGCGGGGCGACGAATACAGAAAGCTAACAAGATAATAATCCTTGCATTTAACATAGCGCCTTATCACATCGTGAAAAATAGGGAGGGTTGTGGCATTTATAAATAGCGATATTGCATTTAAAATTACAGACATTATGCTGGAATTGTACGAGATACTGGTTAGGACAGTTTACTGTCCTACTATGTTTACATGTACAAAGAGGTTGGCAAAATTAGGCCTTTTTCTGCTGGAACCGAAGAGACTAAGTAGGGGATACAATACAATAGCAGCTTTTGTGATTTTAGAGGGTCGTGATAAGTAGGGGAAAAAAAAAATTCTTTCAGACTGGGGAAAATAGGTGACTACATCACAGCCAGACTGGTGGAAAAATCTGAGGGGTAATCAGAAGGATTTTTTTCACTCAAGGAGTTGTTAGAGTATAAAATGCATCTTTTAAGGCTGGATTAATAGGACCATTTAAAAGGCAATAGGATAAGCATTTGAGCGATATAAGCATTGAAAGGAAAGTGGGAAGGAGCTGGAAAGTGGAATTAATTAAGAGAAATAAACAACGGGCACAAACACAGTATGCTAAACAGCTTCTTTCTGTGCAAGAAATTTCTCTTACATTCAAATTGGACCCACAGTAGAGCACTAACTCATACAGAGCAGCAGTGCTGGTGGAGCAACAATTGGGACTCTATCGGTCTCAACACCCAGGATTAGGGAACAGAGAAAAATCATTCTGGATCCCTGTTCTTGATGGCTATCCAGTGACCAACTCCTCAAGACTATGTATGGGGACAGGATGGGGCTGAGATTCCTCTCTTCCCAACATAAGGCAGGCACCTTGTGTAAGGCTTTAGTCTTAGGGTTAACCCTAACCCATGTACACCAACACCACTTCTTGCATATTGTGCACATTTCGTTATAACCCAGAGGAAGACGTTAGACACAGATATTGGGGTTCGCATGTACCTAACATCTAGGCTCATACAAAGAACATGGGGGAAACATCTAAGAACAACTACATGCAGTGAATCTCAAAGGCTGCCAGGCGAGAGAAAAGAAAATCGGTTAAACATAAAATGGTAACTGAAATGTCAACAAAAGACAACCAATCACAGCAACAGGCAGCAGCTTGGTAGCCCTCTGGTCTCTGGATCCGAAGAGTTCAAGGCCTGCCTGAGCTCACAGTCTAGGCTAACACTCTAGGAGTATGCTTAGGGGTTGCAATCCTGGTGCTCTTTCGGAATCCCAACTCTTACCTCATCCAGGACGCCTGCGGTGGTTCTCCACACCAGCCATGTACTCAGAGAGAGCATCCCTCTGTGGGGAGAGCACCCAGGAGGTTTAAACCCCCTCAACCTGCTGGCTTATTCTCGCAACAACATGGGGCCCACTTCTGGCAGAGCGGGAAAAAAACCCATCCCACTTAAGCTCGGGTTTGGCCTTTATACAATCCCCAAATCCCAGGATTCTCTTCAATGAATCCTGGGATTTCGGGAGCACTATCAGCATATGGGATCCCGAGATTGGGATTGCAACTTGGGTGTGTGCTGCATTGTTGGAGGTGCCATTCTTCTGATGAAGCTTCAAACCTGCCTGCCTGCAGGGCCTGTCTGCTCAGGCGAATGTTAAGATTCTATGACACTATTAGAAAAGAAGGGAGTTTCTCCCAGTTTCAAAATTAATTGAGTTATTGCAGCTTCAAATAGCTGCTGTATGTGTATTCGGATATTTACTCACACAAAACTCTGTACCCCCAACACACCAGTCCTTGCCAGGCTCCACTGACTCCCAATTACCAAAAGGATCGATTTCAAGATCCTCTCTCACTTATTTTCAAATCTCTTCATGCCCTCGCACCTCCCTAACTATCTGATCTGCTTATTCCCTACTCCACCACCCGCTGCCTCCACCCAGCTGGATCCACGCTCCTGTTTGTCCCTCGCCCCACCATCGGTCGAAGTGCCTTCAGCCATTACGCCCCGAAACTCGAACTTTCACCCTCAAACGCCACCTCCCCCCACCGTCTTGCTCCCTCCCCACCTTCAAATCCTGCTTAAAGATTTTCCATCATCATCGCGCCTATGGTCACCTCCCACTCTGTCTCCCCCGAGCTCGTTGTCAAATTCTGACACTGTAAAGTATGAGGAGTGCTGTGTAAATGCAAGTTGTTGCTGTACATGATGAGCATTATGGCCAGTGACTGTTGCCAATCTAACCCACAATCTTCGCTGCGCATTTAAGCAAAAAAAAACTCTGCAAGGGCACTGAAGCCAACTGTTGCCTAGCCAAGATCAGTTAGGAGATCAAGGATTGAACCATAGTTCCCTTGCACTAGGCCAAAGGTTTCACAGAGTTTGTTCATTCATTTGACTATTCAGTGGTTTGACCACCATAAATTGGAGTTTTAGTTATTAGTTTTCAAACTCCTCACAATTCCCTTAAGTAAAATGTAGCCTTCTGAAGTTAGATTTTCCAATTCAGATGTAACTAGTTTAATTGAGATTACACAGTACTGGATTCGAAACAAACATCTGCTATTGCTATAATCTAATCTTCCAACACGTTTTGTAACAAAGCTGCTATGAATAGCAAACCTGTTACTTTTCTTTATGAAGAATCAATGTGAAACCATATTTTTTCTAAATTGCATCTCACAAATATAAAACAGTTTCAAACTACACTTAACTTGAAAATACATCAAGTTTTCCCTCCAACCGCTAGAAGACATTAACCAGACCATTCACCTCGGAGAGTTCTATTTTCGAAACCCTCTCTTCAAACTTATATCTTTCGATGAAAGTGAAAAAAACATTCAAAAGCGTAAGGAACCCATCCTGTGCAAAGTTGGGTGCTGTTGAGTCATCTCTGGGTTGTCAGTGAATCGGCACCATTTGCAGTTGTAAAGGCGCCTTTTATAGTCTCACAATTGAGATCAAAGCACAGGAGCCCCAGAACCAGTGAGTGAAGCGTGAAAATCGATCCGTAAGACTATAACCGAGGACTTCATTAAGTGGAGTACATTTCCCTCCCCTGAGCTGCAGTCTCTGGAGGCCCAAGTGCTGCGAACTCACTTGGTGACGACCATTACATGGAGAAAGTGAGCCCTCGCTGCCCCGCACAATCCACAGGTGCCCAGTGTAGGCCCCACCATGTGAGTGCGAGTGCCCGCACACTCAGCTTCACTTGCCGGGGAAATGGGGAAAGTATCGCGCCTCTGCCCGGGGCCCGCGGCAACTCGCAGCCTTTTGTGGTCCAGAGGGGAGCCTTCCCTCCCTCCCTCCCTCCCTCCCCCCAACCCTCACTAGGCCTCGGGCTTCTCCCGACCTCAAGTGTGCGCGGGCGGTGTGCGGCGGCACTCACATGAGCGATCTCCTGCTGGCTGGACTTGTAGTTCTTCTTGGTCAGGTTATCCACAAGGTAGCTGATTTGAGACAAGGCCAGCGATAACGAGTCAAGATTCATTGCTGGTCGGGGCGGTCAGCTGAGGAAAGCGGGAAATGGTCATTATTCCCCTTTCTTATACTGGAAAAAGAAAACCGTTCGTCTCCCCGTCACAGTCAGTCGGTCAGTGTGTGCGCCCGCGGCACGGCACGGCCCGGCACGGCCTGCTCTCGGCTCGGGCTCGGCCTGGCCTGGCCTGGTGTGAGTGGCGGCTGCGGCCTCCTCGCTTTCTCGCTCTCTCTCTCTCTCGCTCGCGGTGTGTGGCTCTCACTGGGGGCTGTGGCTGCTGTGCTCGGCTCCTCCCGCTCACTGCTCCGCCGCGCTCTGCCGTCCGATTCCTCCTCCTCCTCCTCGGTGCAGACTCAACATGGCGCTGCGACAAGCGGCTCCGCTCCGGGCCCACCGACTGCCGACTCCGAGCCCCGGGGTCCCAGCGCTGCTGCAAATGGCGGCGGGACCTCACGACGCCATCTTGGAATCAGCAGCCGCTCGGCTGGGCTCCGCTCGGCGCTCCCGCCTCCTCGCTGCCTCGCGCTCCCTCACACCCGCCGCCGCTCCCTCGCTGCCGCCGCACCCCGGGCTCCAGGCGCCGCTCTCACTACTCGCGCTCTCACGGCTCCCGAACAACCGCCAACCCGCAGATTAGTCCTGATTAGTCGGCCGGAAACGAGGCCGCGGCCTGGGGATGATTTCCGGTCTCACAGGCTGGGGGCGGGGCCTGACCCTGGGCACACAGGCCCCGCCCCTCGTGACCCCCCCCCACCGCCACACACACTGCCCCCCCCACACACTGCCCCCCCCCCCCCCACACACTGCCCCCCCACACTGCCCCCCCACACACTGCCCCCCACACACTGCACTGCCCCCCCACCCCCCCCACACACTGCACCCCCACACACTGCCCCCCACACACTGCCCCACCACACACTGCCACCTGCCCCACACACACTGTGGGCGTGGGGGGCAGTGTGTGGGGGGGCAGTGGGGCGAGCAGTGTGGGGGGGCAGTGTGTGTGGGGCAGTGTGGTGGGGGCAGTGTGTGGGGGCAGTGTGGGGGGGCAGTGTGTGGGGGGCAGTGTGTGGGGCAGTGTGTGGGGTGGGCAGTGTGGGGGGGCAGTGTGTGGGGGGCAGTGTGGGGGCAGTGTGTGTGGGGGCAGTGTGTGTGGGGCAGTGTGTGGGGGGGCAGTGTGGGGGGCAGTGTGGGGGGCAGTGTGTGGGGGGGCAGTGTGGGGGGCAGTGTGTGGGCGGGGCAGTGTGTGGGGGGGCAGTGTGTGTGGGGGCAGTGTGTGGGGGGCAGTGTGGGGGGGGCAGTGTGTGGGGGGCAGTGGGGTGGGCAGTGTGGGGGGGCAGTGTGGGGGGGGCAGTGTGTGGGGGGGCAGTGTGGGGGGGCAGTGTGGGGGGCAGTGTGGGGGGCAGTGTGGGGGGGCAGTGTGGGGGGCAGTGTGTGGGGGGGCAGTGTGTGGGGGCAGTGTGTGGGGGGCAGTGTGGGGGGGCAGTGTGTGTGGGGGGCAGTGTGTGGGGGGCAGTGTGTGTGGGGGCAGTGTGTGGGGGGCAGTGTGTGGGGGCAGTGTGTGGGGGGCAGTGTGGGGGGGCAGTGTGTGGGGGCAGTGTGGGGGGGGGCAGTGTGGGGGGGCAGTGTGTGAGGAGCAGTGTGTGTGGGGGCAGTGTGGGGGGCAGTGTGTGGGGCAGTGTGGGGGGGCAGTGTGTGGGGGCAGTGTGGTGGGGGCAGTGTGTGGGGGGCATGTGGGGGGGGCAGTGTGGGGGGCAGTGTGGGGGGCAGTGTGTGGGGGGGCAGTGTGTGGGGGGGCAGTGTGGGGGGGGCAGTGTGGGGGCAGTGTGTGGGGGGCAGTGTGTGGGGGCAGTGTGTGTGGGGGCAGTGTGTGGGGGGCAGTGTGTGGGGGGCAGTGTGTGTGGGGCAGTGTGGGGGGCAGTGTGTGGGGGGCAGTGTGTGGGGGGCAGTGGGGGGGCAGTGTGTGGGGGGCAGTGTGTGGGGGGCAGTGTGTGGGGGCAGTGGGGGGCAGTGTGTGTGGGGGCAGTGTGGGGGGCAGTGTGTGTGGGCAGTGTGTGGCAGTGTGTGTGTGGGCAGTGTGTGGGCAGTGTGTGTGTGGGCAGTGTGTGGGCAGTGTGTGTGTGGGCAGTGTGTGGGGGCAGTGTGTGGGGGCAGTGTGTGTGTGGGCAGTGTGTGTGGGGGCAGTGTGTGGGGCAGTGTGTGGGCAGTGTGTGGGGGCAGTGTGTGTGGGCAGTGTGTGGGGGCAGTGTGTGGGGGGCAGTGTGTGTGGGGGGCAGTGTGGGGGGGGCAGTGTGGGGGGCAGTGTGTGTGGGGGGCAGTGTGTGGGGGGCAGTGTGTGGGGCAGTGTGTGGGGGCAGTGTGGGGGCAGTGTGTGGGGGCAGTGTGTGTGGGGGCAGTGTGTGGGGGCAGTGTGTGGGGGCAGTGTGTGTGGGGGCAGTGTGTGTGGGGCAGTGTGTGGCAGTGTGTGGGGGCAGTGTGTGTGGGGGGCAGTGTGGGGGGGCAGTGGTGGGGGCAGTGTGTGGGGGGCAGTGTGGGGGGGCAGTGTGTGGGGGGCAGTGTGTGTGGGGGCAGTGTGTGGGGGCAGTGTGGGGGGCAGTGTGGGGGCAGTTGTGGGGCAGTGTGTGGGGCAGTGTGTGGGGGGGTGTGGGGGCAGTGTGTGGGGGCAGTGTGTGTGGGGGGCAGTGTGTGTGGGGGCAGTGTGTGGGGGCAGTGTGTGGGGGGCAGTGTGTGGGGGCAGTGTGTGGGGGCAGTGTGGGGGGGCAGTGTGGGGGCAGTGTGTGGGGGCAGTGTGTGGGGGCAGTGTGTGGGGCAGTGTGTGTGGGGGGGCAGTGTGTGGGGGGGCAGTGTGTGGGGGCAGTGTGTGGGGCAGTGTGTGGGGGGCAGTGGTGGGGGGGCAGTGTGTGGGGGCAGTGTGTGGGCAGTGTGTGGGGGCAGTGTGTGGGCAGTGTGTGGGGGCAGTGTGTGGGGGCAGTGTGTGTGGGCAGTGTGTGGGGGGCAGTGTGTGGGGGCAGTGTGGGGGCAGTGTGTGTGGGGGGGCGTGTGTGGGGCAGTGTGTGGGGGGGCAGTGTGTGTGGGCAGTGTGTGTGGGGGGCAGTGTGTGTGGGGGCAGTGTGTGTGTGGGCAGTGTGTGGGGGGCAGTGTGTGGGCAGTGTGTGGGCAGTGTGTGTGGGGGCAGTGTGTGTGGGGGGCAGTGTGTGGGCAGTGTATGGGGCAGTGTGTGTGGGGCAGTGTGTGTGGGGCAGTGTGGGGGCAGTGTTGGGGGCAGTGTTGGGGGCAGTGTTGGGGGCAGTGTGTGGGGCAGTGTGTGGGGGGGTAGTGTGTGGGGGCAGTGTGTGGGCAGTGTGTGGGCAGTGTGTGTGGGGCAGTGTGTGTGGGCAGTGTGTGTGGGCAGTGTGTGGGCAGTGTGTGGGGGCAGTGTATGGGGCAGTGTGTGGGGGGCAGTGTGTGGGGGGCAGTGTGTGGGGGCAGTGTGTGGGGGGGCAGTGTGTGGGGGCAGTGTGTGTGGGGGGCAGTGTGTGGGGGCAGTGTGTGGGGGCATGTGTGTGGGGGCAGTGTGTGGGGCAGTGTGTGGGGCAGTGTGTGTGTGGGGCAGTGTGTGTGTGGGGCAGTGTGTGGGGGCAGTGTGTGTGTGGGGGCAGTGTGTGGGGGAGGCAGTGTGTGGGGGCAGTGTGTGGGGGCAGGTGTGTGGGGGCAGTGTGTGGGGGGCAGTGTGTGGGGCAGGTGTGTGGGGGGCAGTGTGTGGGGGCAGTGTGTGGGGGGCAGTGTGTGGGGGCAGTGTGTGGGGGCAGTGTGGGGGGCAGTGTGTGGGGCAGTGTGTGTGGGGGGCAGTGTGTGGGGGCAGTGTGTGTGGGGGCAGTGTGTGGGGGGGCAGTGTGTGGGGGGCAGTGTGTGGGCAGTGTGTGGGGGCAGTGTGTGGGGGGCAGTGTGTGGGCAGTGTGTGGGGGGCAGTGTGTGGGCAGTGTGTGGGGGGCAGTGTGTGGGGGGCAGTGTGTGTGGGGCAGTGTGTGGGGGGCAGTGTGTGGGGGGTGGGGGGCAGTGTGTGTGGGGCAGTGTGTGGGGGCAGTGTGTGTGTGGGGCAGTGTGTGTGGGCAGTGTATGGGGCAGTGTGTGGGCAGTGTGTGTGGGCAGTGTGTGGGGGGCAGTGTGTGTGGGGGCAGTGTGTGGGGGCAGTGTGTGGGAGTGTGTGGGGCTGTGTGGGGGGCAGTGTGAGGGCAGTGTGTGGGACTGTGTGGGGCAGTGTGTGGGGCTGTGGGGGGCAGTGTGTGGGGCTGTGTGTGGGGGTGTGGGGGCAGTGTGTGGGGGGCAGTGTGGTGGGGCAGTGTGTGGGGGGCAGTGTGTGGGGCAGTGTGTGGGGCAGTGTGTGTGGGGGGCAGTGTGGTGGGGCAGTGTGTGTGGGGGGCAGTGTGTGGGGGGCAGTGTGTGTGGGGGCAGTGTGTGTGTGGGCAGTGTGTGGGCAGTGTGTGTGGGCAGTGTGTGTGTGGGCAGTGTGTGTGGGGGGCAGTGTGTGTGGGGGCAGTGTGTGTGTGGGCAGTGTGTGGGGGGCAGTGTGTGGGGGGCAGTGTGTGTGGGGCAGTGTGGGGGGCAGTGTGTGGGGGGCAGTGTGTGGGGGCAGTGTGTGGGAGGGCAGTGTGTGGGGGCAGTGTGTGTGTGGGGGCAGTGTGTGTGTGGGGCAGTGTGTGGGGGGCAGTGTGGGGGGCAGTGTGTGGGGGCAGTGTGTGGGGGCAGTGTGTGGGGGCAGTGTGTGTGGGGGCAGTGTGTGGGGGGCAGTGTGTGTGGGGGGCAGTGTGTGGGGGGCAGTGTGTGGGGGCAGTGTGTGTGGGGGCAGTGTGTGGGGGCAGTGTGTGGGGGCAGTGTGTGTGGGGGCAGTGTGTGGGGGCAGTGTTGGGGGGCACTGTGTGGGGGGGCAGTGTGGGGGGCAGTGTGGGGGGGCAGTGTGTGGGGGGGCAGTGTGTGGGGGGCAGTGTGGGGGGGCAGTGTGGGGGGGCAGTGTGTGTGGGGGAGTGTGGGGGGGCAGTGTGTGGGGGGCAGTGTGTGGGGCAGTGTGTGTGGGGGCAGTGTGTGGGGGGCAGTGTGTGTGGGGGCAGTGTGTGGGGCAGTGTGTGTGGGGGGCAGTGTGTGGGGGGCAGTGTGGGGGCAGTGTGTGGGGGGCAGTGTGTGGGGCAGTGTGTGGGGGGCAGTGTGTGGGGGCAGTGTGTGGGGGGGCAGTGTGTGGGGGGCAGTGTGTGTGGGGGCAGTGTGTGGGGGCAGTGTGTGGGGGGCAGTGTGGGGGCAGTGTGTGGGGGGCAGTGTGTGGGGGCAGTGTGTGGGGGCAGTGTGTGTGGGGGGCAGTGTGTGTGGGGGCAGTGTGTGTGGGGGCAGTGTGTGGGGGCAGTGGGGGGGGCAGTGTGTGGGGGGGGCAGTGTGTGGGGGCAGTGTGTGTGGGGGGGGTCACGAGGGGGCGGGGCCTGTGTGCCCAGGGTCAGGCCCCGCCCCCAGCCTGTGAGACCGGAAATCATCCCCAGGCCGCGGCCTCGTTTCCGGCCGACTAATCAGGACTAATCTGCGGGTTGGCGGTTGTTCGGGAGCCGTGAGAGCGCGAGTAGTGAGAGCGGCGCCTGGAGCCCGGGGTGCGGCGGCAGCGAGGGAGCGGCGGCGGGTGTGAGGGAGCGCGAGGCAGCGAGGAGGCGGGAGCGCCGAGCGGAGCCCAGCGAGCGGCTGCTGATTCCAAGATGGCGTCGTGAGGTCCGCCGCCATTTGCAGCAGCGCTGGGACCCCGGGGCTCGGAGTCGGCAGTCGGTGGGCCCGGAGCGGAGCCGCTTGTCGCAGCGCCATGTTGAGTCTGCACCGAGGAGGAGGAGGAGGAATCGGACGGCAGAGCGCGGCGGAGCAGTGAGCGGGAGGAGCCGAGCACAGCAGCCACAGCCCCCAGTGAGAGCCACACACCGCGAGCGAGAGAGAGAGAGAGCGAGAAAGCGAGGAGGCCGCAGCCGCCACTCACACCAGGCCAGGCCAGGCCGAGCCGAGCCGAGAGCAGGCCGTGCCGGGCCGTCGTGCCGCGGGCGCACACACTGACCGACTGACTGTGACGGGGAGACGAACGGTTTTCTTTTTCCAGTATAAGAAAGGGGAATAATGACCATTTCCCGCTTTCCTCAGCTGACCGCCCCGACCAGCAATGAATCTTGACTCGTTATCGCTGGCCTTGTCTCAAATCAGCTACCTTGTGGATAACCTGACCAAGAAGAACTACAAGTCCAGCCAGCAGGAGATCGCTCATGTGAGTGCCGCCGCACACCGCCCGCGCACACTTGAGGTCGGGAGAAGCCCGAGGCCTAGTGAGGGTTGGGGGGAGGGAGGGAGGGAGGGAGGAAGGCTCCCCTCTGGACCACAAAAGGCTGCGAGTTGCCGCGGGCCCGGGCAGAGGCGCGATACTTTCCCCATTTCCCCGGCAAGTGAAGCTGAGTGTGCGGGCACTCGCACTCACATGGTGGGGCCTACACTGGGCACCTGTGGATTGTGCGGGGCAGCGAGGGCTCACTTTCTCCATGTAATGGTCGTCACCAAGTGAGTTCGCAGCACTTGGGCCTCCAGAGACTGCAGCTCAGGGAGGGAAATGTACTCCACTTAATGAAGTCCTCGGTTATAGTCTTACGGATCGATTTTCACGCTTCACTCACTGGTTCTGGGGCTCCTGTGCTTTGATCTCAATTGTGAGACTATAAAAGGCGCCTTTACAACTGCAAATGGTGCCGATTCACTGACAACCCAGAGATGACTCAACAGCACCCAACTTTGCACAGGATGGGTTCCTTACGCTTTTGAATGTTTTTTTCACTTTCATCGAAAGATATAAGTTTGAAGAGAGGGTTTCGAAAATAGAACTCTCCGAGGTGAATGGTCTGGTTAATGTCTTCTAGCGGTTGGAGGGAAAACTTGATGTATTTTCAAGTTAAGTGTAGTTTGAAACTGTTTTATATTTGTGAGATGCAATTTAGAAAAAATATGGTTTCACATTGATTCTTCATAAAGAAAAGTAACAGGTTTGCTATTCATAGCAGCTTTGTTACAAAA